AAAAAAATATGATTCCGATCAGATGGGTCTACAGAATTTATGTATCTAATGATAAAGAATAGGCAAATTTTGTCTGAAAGTAGTATAGGTTGAAAGCTTGGTAAAATCGTTGTTTATTCGTTAAAACATATATGTGTTTGGATTACTTTTAAAACTCTACTCAAGAGAAAGTCAAATATGATCTTAAAAATATAGCTTTTCAAAAAAAATATGATTCCGAACAGATGGGTCTACAGAATTTATGTATCTAATGATAAAGAATAGCCGATTTTCTCTGAAGTCAGCATAAGCCTAATGATAAAGAAAAATGTTAACTAGTGGATAAAACATATTATTGTCTGTATTCTTTTCAAACCTTTATACAAAAGAAATATATCTAGAGTGTTAAAAATACAAAATTCATAAAAAATTATGATCTGAACAAAACCCTAAATAAACTAAAAAATTTTCAATGCAAAAGAATAGGGAAAAGCGTTCAGAAAAAAAAATGCTAAAATTTACGATTTTAAACGATTTAGCTTTAAATTGTTAGTTAATTTGTAATAATATTTGAATATTTAATTGATTGTGATTATTTAATGTAATTATGATGTGATTAAGTTGTGTTTATATGTGATATTTTGTGTATGTGTGATAGTTGAATGTGTTTTGTTATCATCGTATTTTGTTGTTTTCGTAGCTCGGCTGCCCGTTATTATATCTGATTGTGTGGTACAGCGCACCACGTGATGTCGTCGCTGAGAGTTTAAAATCAGCGACGGCAGAAGCAGTGGACTACGTGGACCCGGTGAGTAGAATTATGTATCATTACAATTACGACATCAACACACAAAATACAACAACACAGCATCTATACACAACATACCATACACCACTCTACATCAATTCTTACCTAACAACAACAATTTATTACACTTAAAACATATTTTAATCATTATCCACAATATAAATATGATATTTTATTGTATTTTACGATCAATATTGATCATTTATTGTTTAAATTTCCGCATCGTTAACGTGTAAAAATAACATTTCTTTACATTGCTTGGCTGAGTGGCAGCAGTTCATCATGCCATGGGCCAAAAAAAAACTTGTCTAAAATTGCTGGAAATCAGGTTTACATAAAAAATTTCCATTCATGTTTGGTGTTGTTTTAGTCCACATTGAACACTGGATTGAATAGTTATACTTTTAATTAAATTTTCCATAAAAAATACAATACCTAATTTTTTGTTTTTTAAATGATGATTTTTAACATGTACAAAACATAGGGCGTCCATGTTGTGTGCTACAGCATAATGAATGTAAAAAAATTGGTTTATAGTTTGCTGAAAATCAGCTTTACATGAAAATTTCACAATCGTGTTTGATCTTGTTTTGATCTGTATTGAGCACTGAATTCAATAATTGCAATTTTAATTAGATACTCCATAAAATTTAATTACCTAAAAAATATTTTTTTAAAGTGATGATGTGTTGTATTCTCTGTTTTCATATTCCTTGTTCATTGTATAGGGCTTTGGTGATTGTATTCTACATCAAATTGCAAAACTCGGCTATGCACAGGAAATGAGAGAATCTCTGATGATTTCTGCACGCAATGTCAATTTGCAAGACGAGGTACGTATAGGAAACAACACATTATTCATTATAAACACTAAATGACAATTTACCATCTTCAAATTTATTAATCCATCATCACAAGCATTTATCACAATTTCATTATCATTGTTAATAGCCAAGACATAATAAATAACAATAAATAATTAAATGATAACAGTTAAAAAAATACTAATTTACATTTTTCGTGAAATATAGGCCTCATATGGTTTTAGTTTTTGATACTTCGACGGGTTTTTTTTTTGTGGAGCCACTATTCGATGCCCAACTGAGCTAGGCTAGGCCCAGACACATTATTTGAAACTTTTACGTGTTATTTAGGTCACAGACCTTGGCACTTGATTAAGGACTGTCTGACGGTGACACTTGTCTATAGAAGGCTGCTGTGAAATGCAAGGCCTGGCTGGTGGAGTCGAGCTGCCTATGTCTTATGAATGATGTAATTACTAGTTAGTAGTAGCCTCCTATTAAGACTATATAGGCCTAGGCCTAAATGTTTGTTTAGCATTAAGATACAGGCAGTCAATGCTATCCTAGGCTAGGCCACCGTCTACTAGGCCAGGGTATATTAACCCATTTAATTTGCTAATTTTTCTAATGTTAACAATGGTTCTATTTTATGTTGTCTTTTTCGTATTCTCCATGTTGTGTCCATGGAATTAGTGAAGTACAGCATTAATATTTTGTATTTAAATTTTACTGTTCAATTTTTAATTTTCCATGGTTAAAAAATATATATTATTATTATTTAATATTATTATTATTATTTAATATTATTATTATTATTATTATTATTATTATTTCTCAAACCAAGCAGCTATTGTTTCGTTTAAAAAAAAAAACGAGAATGGTTTTTGCAAAACCAACACTTTTTATGTACACTTTCAGAGGGGAGGAAGGGGGGTACCGAAAAAGGGTATTGTTTGTAGACTTGCAGAAATTTTGATAATTTTGAACGACCCCTAAATCACGTCTCAAAAATGTATAAAGAAGAGACTTAATTGTAATTTGCGCTATATACAAACTGATTATTATTTTTATTATTTCTCATAACAAGCAGCTATTGTTTTTGTTTTTAAACTTTATGAGAGTTGTTGGTTCTGTGGTTGCTGTTGGGGCTCTCAATCTTATGGTTGAGGGTTCAAAACTTTGCTGTGAAATACGTTTGTGTGCATGAGTAAAGCACTTCGCCTATCTTGTCCCTCTACTAAGGCTGTCTCTTATACACATCTAGATGTGTATAAGAGACAGGTCCTCACCATCATCTAGGACAAGGCCTAGCCTCACTAGTATTTTATATTATTAATGTTTAAAATTTAAGAATAAGAGTGGATTTCCTTTGAATGTTGATTAATATGATCATATGAGCTGTCATTTATTGATTCACTCTCTTTGTTTCCAATGTGTTACAGGATAAAGAGACTCCACTTCACATCCTGTTAGAAGCCAAACATAAATTCAGAGATCACCTAGATATTGCAAGACTTCTTTTGGATGCCGGGGCTGATGTAAATATAAAGAATGAGGTAAAATACTGTATACAAGATATACTGTATAGGGGAGTAAATAATGTCATTCAAATTTGTATGAATATGTATGGTTGAATAAGAAATACTGTACAATATGTTTGTGTAAATTGTATTTTGGAGATATCCCTACAGTATACACATAGCAATTTACTAATTTATATTATTACATAAATTTTGAGTGTTTTAATAATTTAATGATGATAATTTTGATGGTGATGCTTCCGATGATCCTATGGTGATGGTTTGGATCATGATGACAATACTGAAGTAGATGGTGATGAAAGTTTTATAGATAGGTACATTATTATTATTATTATTATTATTATTATTATTATTATTATTATTATTATATTGTATCTGTTTGTTGTTTTCAATGTTTATCATTTATTGAATAGCCTTTTTATTCTCTTTCCATGTCTTTCATTGTATGCAGCAGGCAAAATGAATGTAATTCATCACATGTTTGTTTAATGATAATAAAGCAATCTTGAACTATTTATTAAATGAAGGTGATTAAAGTTAGATTGGTGATGTGGAAGATGAAAATAAGAACAATTAAAAAAACAATTTTAAAAATATGCTTACAGCTTGAGCAGTGGCTGATCTGAGATTAAACAATGGAGGATGACTAGGTAGTGTAAACAGGTTGTTCATGGAGGCCTCCCCAGGATTTTTGTTGTTGGGGCTCAGAAATGCACTTTCCACATTCTAAGAGGTCTGTTAATGATGTTGAAGTCTCATCAAATAAGCATAAAATAATACTGTACAGTACTTGTTTTTTCTGTTGACGAATCATATCAAAAAGACCAGATGAAATTATTTGATCATTATTATCATGATAATGATTACATAAACAGCAGCAGTTTCAGTAATGGAGCCTAATACCTGTATGAGCAGGGGTGGCACCAGCGGGGAGGCCAGGCCCCCCTTCCCTGTCAGGGAGGGCTGGGCCCCCACCCCCGTCGGGGAGAAAAAGCACAATTCGTTGTGGAGGGAAAAAAATTTTATGTATTTTCTACTTATTAGTAGACTCTAAAATCGATTAAATAAGCCTTTGAAACCCCCTAAATTGTCCAAAATTTTGGGGGTCCGCCCCCTGGACCACTTTCAAAACCCTTTAATCAAAGCTTGACCACGCCCACTTTGCTTTCCTTGGGGAAATCTGTCTGGTAAAATGTAAACCATTCCACAAATCATCTTGATTTTAAGAAATGTTAACTTTGTATACTTGGCATGGGATTACTCTAGTCTAGGCCTATGCATTTTTGTGGGAAGGGTTATCCAAGACCTTATTCACTTCTCCCCATCCTAGATCTGCTCTTGCTTGAGTTATTAAAATAGCTGTTGTTGCTGCTTGATTGATTGGCAAAGAAGACCACTGGTACAGTAATATTAGCACAACAGATTAAAGCGATTGTGTTGTTAGGGAATGGTCTTATAATCAATACTCAATAATTTCTATGAAGTATTTTTAAAAGTAGGATGATCGATATTGATTTGTTTTAAGTTTTATGTGTGATTATTTTTACAGCACAATCAGACGCCATGTGACCTCTATATAGAGAATAAATGTGAGGAGTATGGTTTTAGAAACAGAAAAAAACACAAGAACGAAGTCTTGCAACTTCTGCAAGGTGAGCAGTTCCTACAATTTAATTATTCATGTTATTGTTTATGATTAGGTAGTTTAATGTAATTTTATCTCCTGCTTATATTAATTGGATAATAATTTATTATTATCCGCTGTAAACAATGTCTTGCAGTCAAGCTCATTGTACATCACAGATGTTTACTCGTTCATTTATTTGTCACAAAAAAGAAACAGCAAGGAACAGCACAAACAAAGATGAGACAGGACACACCAAAAGTGAACTCTTAAAGTTGGGGTCCTTTACAGAAAGCAAATACTTACAATAAAGTAAATATTTAACATTCAAAGTTAAAATATTCCTCAAGCCCATGTACCTACTTCGGTATTTCATATCACCCTAATAATTTTGAGTCTAGAATATCATAAGAATCGACTTCTAAATGTTATTATTATTTGTTTAATTATTTGTTTAATACATTATTGTTGATGATGATTATGACAATGACGGTGAAAATGATAATATTTTTAAGACAATAAGCAAGTCATCTTATTTTTTATAAATGATTATTTCCCTATATCCATTTCCATTATAATAATATTTGAAATTTTATAATAATGAGTCATTTACCATAGGATCGTGTTTTCTTAATTATTTTAACTTTTTAAAAGATTTTTATTCACATGTAACCTGTTTGTTTTTCCTTTGTACTTTTATTGTTAAAAAACAATATTTTGCCTTTGTAAATTAGACTTTAGAGTTCCAGAGGTAATTTTAGCCAGAGGCAGTGAGGCTCTGAAGGTTTTTAATGAGGAATTACAAGAAGGAAGTATCACAGTAAACCATGCACGATTAATGGTGACAGGCAAAGAGGGGGTGGGCAAGACTTGTTTGGTAAACACTCTGCTTGAAAGAACGTAAGTTTCCGAAGTGCTGTATCTGTCAATGGATTTCCAATATAAATGTTGCTGTATTGCTGTACTTTTTTTATACAAGTTTTGTATTTTATTTGCTTTCTATATATATATTTTTTTTAATACAGTATGATGCCACGTAAATATTATTGTTTCAAACATGCATGTACTTAATTGTCATTACCCATACATTCAACAGCATGTTTTGTTGTATATATTGTACTATAGACTATATGTCGGAATTTATATCTAACACCTCCTTTATATTTATATGTTTGACTTCTTAAAATTGTTCATGTGATGTAATATTCAAATGTAGTTTCCTTTCTGACAAGAAAGTTTCTTGTAACTACTCCTCCATGTAACCACAACTCAATCATGGCACTTAAATACTGTAATATGTACATATACAATTCAAAAATTCAAGCAGTAATTAGACTGTTCTTTCCACAGATTTAATGAAGAAGAACCATCGACTGATGGAATAGTGTTGACCACTGCTTTTCAAACTACTGATATAAGTAGTGTGTGGAAAGAGGCAGAGGACATGGACGGTATGACAAGAAACAATTTAACTTTAAAATCCTATTCTCATTTGTTTTGACTCAAGCTTTGATGAATTTCTTTATCTTTTATAGAATGTGATCGGATCAAAGATATATTTGATAATGCATTAGAAAGTAAAGTTGCCGAGAAACTGAAACAAAAAGGAAGCCAAGTAGAGGCAGCTGAACCAGTACAGGCATCAGCAGGAAAGTCAACACCTGTACCTCCACTTGTACACGCCCCTAAAAAATCAAATGTCTTTGTACGTGTATTTCAGCGGTTAACTAAAAAAGATGGTCGCAGGAAACCAGTTACCTCCTCTACACCTGTATTACCATCTGTGCCTGTTCCAGTTGAGGTAGGACATAATATAGTAATAGTATGTGTTTTCAGAGTGTCTTCAACAGATGATCAGATAAATTATTATAACTGTGGGATTTAATGACACGTTTTTAATAGATTGGCATTTTTTCAGCCTTCGTCACTGAGACTCAATGTTTCCCACAGCATGCATTGTTGTTCTTCTGTATATTGCCTTGTAATATATTTCAAGTTAAAATAATTGTGTACACCTCTGTCACTATATACCTCTGGTAAACAATTGATTTGATTTAATTTATTTTAAAATTCTGAACAAAACAATGTACTGTATGTAAACACTCATTTTTTTCTTGAGCCATCAGAGCAATACAGTGTAAACATAATTGTTTTTGCCCCAAAACCTTTACTCAGAAATACAAATATTGTATATCATTGGGGATAGTTTTCCTATTTTATTCCTAGTGGGGGACTTCTTTGCAAATTATATGGATGTACACTTTTGCAGTGCTTTCATGCAATAGTATAATAATGCTAAAATATGTTTAACCGACTTCATTAAAATATAATACACTATCATTTTTTTATCAGGAAAAAATTATAAAATAAATATTATTAATATTGCATTATTAAAATTAAAAACCATACAAGTATAATTTGATAATTTGTAAGTAAGAGATTATGGCATTAAAACATTTGGAAAACTACCGTAACATTTTTTAATGTTGTATCCAACAACTAGCCAATAAAATGTAGCAATTATGTAATTAAAAATTCCACAATACTTAGATTATTTTAATTCAACTAAAGACTAGAGGATATATTTCCAAGAATACATAGAATAATATTTAAGGTAATGAATTTCAAAATCATCTTGTTAGTAATGTTTTCTAATATTTGAAAATGATTACATTCTGTGTCTTTCTAACATGATTTTTTATTAACGGACAAAGGTCAATGACCCAAGCCAAGCACTGCCATCAGAAAGGCAAAAAAGAATAATTGACAGAATGTTTGGAAAGGCCTCCGCATCAACTAGTAATGAGGACATGACTTACATTTGGGACTTTGCTGGCCAGCAGCTCTACTATATTACACATCGAGTAAGTACTCAATTTAGTTGTGTAATCTACTAGTAGGATCTGTGGCAGGATTCCCAATGTAAGCAGTAATCCTTCCCAATGCCGGAAATGCTTTCTTGCAATTTTAACATCATTCATTTGGATGAGATGATTTCTGAAGAATGATTACAGAACCTATAAGAAAAGTTAGATCATCAATTAAGAATAAATTTCCGCATTTTCTTTTAGATATTCCTAACAAGTGAAGCGGTGTATTTGATTTTGTTCAATTTGATGGAAGGTATGCACGACAAGGGGAAGTGTAGAGTCTCTAGAATGGTAAATTTTTGTTTCTTTATAATGGTGGTTTTGTGGATGTGAGTGCTGTATTTAACTTAAACATTCATGTCAAAATCTTGTAATTTATTTTCTTCTTCAGGAAAAACAAAATGTGATGACATATGATATGACAAATGTACAGATTATCAAATACTGGATGAGGTTGATATATACTTATGCTGTCCCTGTTGAGTCACCAGCTCAGGCTACACTGCAAGCCAAGAAACCCCAAATTGTGGTGGTTGGTACTCATGGCGAGAGCCTACAGGGTACCGCTGAAGACAAGAAGAAGAAGGTAAAATGTAATTGGAACTTGACATAATTAATTGATTATTAACATTCTGAATATGGTGTTATGCTCATGATATATTGTTATTCAGATTGAAGAACAGTTTGGTATAATATTTGAAGAAATCGAAGGTACTCCATATGGATGTCATGTGGTGAGGAAAATGTACGCCATCGACAACAAGTTTCCAACGCAAAGCGAGATGCTGACAACACTTAAACAAGATGTTGGTGAATTTCTGAATGCAATGCCCAAAACCATCCCGCTCAAATGGCTTGAATTCCAGCGTATTTTGCAGGAGAATGGTAGGACAGCAGTGCGAATGAGTTATTCTAAGGTATGTAATCATTGCCTAAAATGTTAATAAACATTAGAAAGAATTGTTTAATACTTAACCCCAACTCCTGTCTCTTATACACATCTAGATGTGTATAAGAGACAGATATCAAGATTCGACTTCTAAATGTTATTATTATTATTTGTTTAATTATTTGTTTAATACAATATTGTTGATGATGATTATGACAATAACGGTGAAATGATAATATTTTTAAGACAATAAGCAAACCATCTTATTTTTTATAAATGATTATTTCCCTATATCCATTTCCATTATAATAATATTTGAAATTTTATAATAATTAGTCATTTACCATAGGATTGTGTTTTCTTAATTATTTTAACTTCTTAAAATATTTTTGTTCAGACATCATCTTTTTATTTTTATTTTTTTATACGTTATAAGTTCCGTGTCCTGTGCTGGACAAGCTTGCGAGAAATGCACTTCCACGATTTGGAGGAGTGCCTGGAAAATGACTGTATTCCATGCGGGAAGAAATTGATAACCACAATTAAACTTCAGAGGATGTTCAAGAATAAGCAACTAGTGACAGGTAAATAACAAAAACTAAGGAAAACTAGCAATACCAGATAACATTCTACTATACTTTTTAAATATGTTAATTAGGTATTAAATATTGGTAACATTTCATTGGCCATTTCCACTTGGTACGCAGTGCAGTAGTTATGACTATAATTATACAGATGTTGGTAAATAGCCAAGCTTGCAACTTTTTCTTTTGTGGTGGGGGGTGGGGGGGAGTTTAATAATGAGAATAATTTTCAGGCTAATATTATTATTGTTGTTGTTATTGTTGTTGTTGTTGTTTTTGTTGTTATTTTTGTTATTATTATTATTATTATTATTTTTGTTGTTGTTTTTGGCTTTCGAGAATTTCAAAAGATGGGAGAGTGACAAGACAGACGACTGTACCCCACATCGTATAAACTTATGTCATTTATACAAGAGTCCCCTTTTCTGTCTGGACCCCCATCCCCCTCTTGCAAATATCTGGACCAGCATCTTTGCAAGTAATGGCTAATGTAGACGGACAGTTTTTTGTTTAATATTTGTGAGGTAGTGTAATGCATATACAACATGATTTTTTATTTTGGTAAAGCAGTGAATTCTACTTCCCTCGCTGTTTGATGATTGGCACTACATTCCTAAGCTTCATGTTTGGAGGTGGTCCAAATCATTGGGACTACATTCCTCAGCTTTATGTTGGGAGGTGGTCCAAATCCTTGGGACTACATTCCTCAGCTTCATGTTGGGAGGTGGTCCAAATCCTTGGGATTACATTCTTCACCTTCATATTGGCAGGTGGTTCAAATCATCTCGGCAAGTAGAAGCCACCACCTTTCCTCAAATCATGTTGTATTGTAAAATACCACTCCAATCTTAGAATACCTTATTTATTCCTCTACTAAACAAATAAAATTCAAACTTGAAAATAAGCTCAAAGTTTATATTAATCTCAGCATTTAATTATTCTATATCAAATCTGTAATATATATATTATTCAATTTTAAATTATCTATTGTGTTTGATGTCCTTTAGTGCCATAATTATGTTTGGTTTTTTTTATTATACAGTAGATTTTTTTTAAATTTTCAAATTGCTTTTTTGAAATCAATGTTTAATATTGAAAGCTTTATCCAGTAATAAAGGGATAAGAGTGGTCAGAGGGCCAAACTAAATTTTTGATTTTGACAACATTCATGCACTGTTTTTACAACCCTTTATTCTCAGATTTGATTTTATTTGATTTCATATCAAAAGCTATTGTAAAGCAAACAAAGAGGCACAGAGTCAAAAGTTATCCCAGAAATTGTAACATGATTTAATTCCAGAAGCATCCCATTTTATTATTAATATTAAAGACAACCAGCTTGATAACAAGTTTTTCCAGCCCACTTCTGATTTAGTATAAATTCACCATTAAAACTTTATGTGAAATGATTTTGTCCTGATCCATAATGTAATGTGATAGACAGCAGTCAATTTTAGTCATTTGATTCTGTATTAAATTGTTTTTAATTCATTTGTAGATTCTTCAATGCCAGCAGCAGGTTCCAGCGATGCTGAAACAGCGCCACCAGGTTAGTGTTTCAGAGTTTATTACTATTTTGTGTCTCATGAAATTATTTTTTTTAAGACAGCTATATGACTATTAAGTATTATTATAATTATTTATTTAATATATTATTTTATTTTTTTACAGTAATGTTATTATTCCAATTATTTTATTGTGCTAGACTTACTTTTATTTTCACTTCAGATGAATGTCTTGGTTATCTTGAAGACAAGCACCTGCTTCGTATCGCCAAGGGCATGGGAATGGAGTGGAAACAACTGGGCGTCAGATTGGGTCTTGGTTGGAAGATGATCCAACAAATATGGAGTGATAACAGACGATTATTTGACTCCATTATGGATATGCTTACAGAATGGAGGAAACAACAGAACTATGAGAAAAATCAAGTTGAGATAATGTGCAGAGCATTGAAGGAGCAAGGGCTCACAGAGCTTGCTAACAAAATCTTTGGCTCTCAAATGTCAGAGGTTAAAGAAGCCAATGCAAATGCAGGTGAAGATACGAGAGAATACGATGGTTAGTAATGCATTATTCATGATAAAATATTCATTTAATTAATATAATCTTAAAAAAAAAATCATTTTGATATTATTCTTTGTTGTGTAGTTTGTTTAGTTTCACAAAAATGCATATTGTTAAATCATTTCAGAGTGTGGAAAATGACAAAAAACAACCATTTTAATGGCTTAATGTATTATTAGCTTTTAATTGAAAATTAAATTGAAAAAAAAAACATTTTCTGGCCAGGTAATTATAATAATAATGGTAATACCCAAATATTTATAAGGCACCAATTTCAAATCGAATGATTAAAGGCACAAGCGTTTTTATACAAAATGGCAAACCAGCACAAGGGGCAACATTCTCTGCTCCCTGGGGAATATCCCTAGTCATTTGCTGCCTACTTTAGCACACAAAACTAGTACATTCAATGCCCCAACATCCTACCAGTTTGGACTGTAGATACAAAATTTCAGAAACAGATTGTGAAAGCCGCATTAGAAATGCTTTTCCGATGGAGAAACAGAGAGAAACATAAATCAACTCACAACATTGAAGGCAGCATAGATTGAAAATGATAAAAAGATCGCTGCATACTAACAACATACATAAAGAACTTGAAACAACTTTAATCAACAAATTAGTAGTACAGGGGCCTTGGACTAAGCAGAGATTGTGGCATGAACAATATGATATTGTGAAAATAATAGAGAAATATTTACCAAATACCAGATAGATCATTACTATTGTGTAAATTAACTGTATCCGCATGTTCCATTTGCAGTCATGTTTTCTTGACACGACAAACAACAACTTGGTTCTACCAACCAAAACCTGGGCAAGGAGTGACCCATCCAGCACGAACGTTAAGGCTTTAATTAGCAATGCCTCTGTTTTGGCCGGACTGTGAAGTCTACAATGTTAGTGTTTTAATATTGCTGTCTTTGCTTTTCCTTCAGGATTCTTGGCAGACATTGATATGCAATTTATTGCTGAGGAGCTTGGCAAGGACTGGAAATCCTTTGGCAGCATCATTGGTCTGAGGGAACCTGAAATAGAAAGAATTGAACTGGACTTTTCACCACCAACTGTGGATGCAAGTCTGGAAATGCTAGTCAAGTGGCGAGAAAGGCAAAAAGCTGGAGTTAACCACCTTGGAAAGATGTGTGATGCATTGGAAGAACTTGGAAAGGCAGCTGTTGCTGAAGCACTCCAGAAATACTACTAGGGAACTTAATTATAATGCAAGAAGAACATTTGTAGATACACATTGGTACCAACAATTTCAAAAGACGGTTACACAGTGGTTAGGCCAGGGGCTAGTTCCCCCGCTCCCTTCAGGAAGAGCAAAACCTTAACCACTGCCATTATGACTAGCAGCGTAACAAAGGGATCGGAGGCTGCTGGGTAGGGGCCTTTTAGGAGCCCACAAGCTAGGGGTCTTTTAGGAGCCCACAAGCTAGGGGTGGGGGGAAGTGAAGAGCGTTCTTAGTTAGCGTTCTATGACATATTTTAATGTCTGTTTACACATTCAAATTCTAAGTTTATATATCGTGATTTGACACATAAAGCGTACTTAATTTAAACTAATAAACATCTCTGTATCTCCACAGACTTTGGCTTGAAAAAGGGCTTTGGTTATTCATTTGTTTAAAAAAATATATTGGTATTTGCTCGGGGCCCTTGAGGCTCCGGGGCCCCTGGCTTTAGCCAGTGAGAGCTCATAGCCATTACGCCACTCATTATGACACTCAATAAAGTTAATGCTGCAGTGCACGTATCCTAGGGCAATAATGGTATTAAGAAAATACATGAAGTTATTGTTTAACCATAGAATCAAATTTTTGGGACAGCAAATTTGCTTTATAAATTATACAATATATTTTGTTTATAATATAATAATATGATGGAACTATACAAATTAGTAAACACTTTCTCATTTAATATTTGTAAATTATTGTATATTTTGTAAGCTTGTAAAATTTATATAACCTAATCTTGATACTTAAATGCCGAAATTTATATATTTTATATATATTTTTATATATATTTTTATATATATTTTTATATATATTTTTATTATTTTAGAATGTCGTTTCTTTTTAAGAATTATACCTTGACCGACTGTACATTCAGCGGGATAAAGAAGGTGGACAGTGCTACTTCTCATGGTTCCTGTATATTTAAAATAACACGCTGCCCAAATCATTCCAGTAGGATGCAGTTTTTTCACACTACATAACAACACTTTTTCAAAAACTACAGCTCAACTGAATACAGTTTACTGTAGTTCCTGTTCAAGTCACAAATTTCACTATAAAATCACAAAAATAACTTATTGTTTATCTTGACTATCCTGGCTACGGCCTGGAATGGTCACATTCTCATGTTCCGTAAATTAAATTAGAATAAAATAGGCATCTCT